CCTTGGAGTTTTAACTAAACTTCAGTATTTTTTGGTTTTATTCTTTTATTTTTTTTTCGAAACTTATATTGCACGTTAGTGATAAAAAGTTTAAAAGTTGCTTTTGTTATAAGTTTTTTTTCCTTTTTTTTTTACATAAACTTCAATTTAAACGTATTATATTACTTTTCATTTTATTTTGGATTTGAATTCAAACAAAATTTTTTTAATTGAGTTCTATATTTTAGTTTAATTTAATTTTATTTTCAAAGCGCATATAAAATCTTTATATTTTACTTAAAGATTAATAAGATGTTCAACAAGAACATTAAAAATTAAGTTAATTGTATAAGCAGTAGATTGGTTAATTATATATGTTAATTTCATTTTATGGGAATAGATATGTGTATTCAAGGAAATTTATCTAATATATAAATATACACATATACTTTCTTTATAAAAGAATCCTTGAACTTGGTAATGTTACGTAAAGAAGTTTTCTCCTTCTCTCGGGCAATAGTTAATAGAATATGTAAAATAAAAGCATATAGTTGAACGTACTTTTACTATAATTGCATATTTATAGGGGTAAAAATATAATTTAATTATTATATTTTATATATAAATAAATATATGTTTATATACGTTTACATTAATATATTAATTAACAAAACAATTTTTTTTTGTATTTGGGAGTACATTATAAATTATTACAGAAGAAGAATGTGCACATTTTTAATACAATAAGTAGGTAACTTATAAATTATTTAGATAATGTATATGTACTTACAATAGGTATCCTGATCCTGATATTCAATTTTAATTTTAACAAAAATGTGACGTGTAGCCGGATGTGAAATATATAATATATTTTTAAGTGTAATAGGTAGAACTGTATATTACTAGAATATATTCGCGTATACTCTTTTTATCTTTGTTAAAGGAAATAAATGCAATGTAAAAGAAAAACCACGAACGATACGAACGACTGCATTTATTGGACGCTCTTTTAATATTAAAAATATTATTTTATTGCATTTTTCGTTTTGTTTAGTGCATTTAGCTAGTACTTTAACTGGTGTTTATTAATACTAAACATTTTTTTAATTATTTCATATAATTTTCTGTTCCTTTTTTATTCTTTGAACTTTTCATGTAGAGCTAGCTCGCATTTTTATCGCCTTGTGTCGTGGTGGTCTCAGTTAGCATTTATATTTTACTTTAGTAATTAATTAAAAATCAATTACTTTAAATGATTTCAAAGATTTTATTGGGTATGAATTAAAACTAAATTCTAATATGAGCGTTCTAAAACGTATAAATATCTTCAAGTAAGATAATTCGCTTTGTATTGAGAATATTTTTAATACCGAATTTAATTAATTGATTTCATGATACGGAGAATTTTTTCTTCAATTATTTCTCATTTATTCTTTTAATAATCAAATTTTAATTTTATATTTTTGTACAAGTTTATGTTAAATAATATACAGCTTTTTAAATTAGTTTTGAATATATTTTTTATTGTTAACGATATTTTGACTATAGGCTATAGTCGTTGTAATTAAAACATTTTAATAGTATATGATAGCAATAAATTAAATACGAAATATTCAATTAAATTTTGAGTTTAGTAATATGTTAATTTATTATTTTTTATTTATTTTATTTTTAAAATTCCATATTAAAAGACAAAGATAAAAAAGACGTAAGTTCATTCATAAAACTAAATATTCTCCTAATTAATTGTTTTTAATTCTTCGGTTCGGTATCTTTAAATTAAATACTATCTGATTTAATCACTTTCGTAAGTGATGTTAAGGTTTTTTCTATATCGTGTGATTTTACTTACCATATATTGCGCGAATAATTTTATGATTTAAATGTTGTATTTTTCTATATAATGATTTCTTCTTTGTTAACATTTGGCATAAGTCAGAAATTTTATTTTGTTATTCAATTACAAAACGAAATGAAATTATTCTTATCACATATTATATTATTTACTTAAATTTTGTGTGTCAATAAAAAAAACACACTTTAATCTATTCGCTTCAGTTATTTCAAGATAAGAATAAGTAAAAAAAACATAGCATTGAACTTGATTATAGTTTGTTTAAACTTAAAACGATTGCTGTTTCCAATTTGTCTCCCTCCGAGCAATGAATTGAGTTTAAGCCTAAATTTTATTAACACTACGAATTTATATCTTCTCACTTATCTAAATTAATGAAATACAAACTGATAATCACGCAATGTATAGTGATGATACGCAGTCTCATAGGAATGAGCACGTTAAACTTCACGGTAAATCAGCATGAAATCACTTTTAGCCAAAACATTGAAGCATTAGTACAAGACTAGAATTTTCTACGCAATTTAATGTTATCAAAAGGAAAACTTGCAATAATGTTGTTTTTCTAACCTCATAAAAAATAGAAAAAACACACTATAAAAGCCATAAACAAAGTTGGAAGCAAATGTTCCGTAAATATACTCGACTTAATAACTTTGGCCTTCCTTGAATGAAAATAAAAAGGCCTACTAAATGTGTGTGCTGTGGCCGGATTTATTTTTATTTGTAGATTTCTGTTTTTTTACTCAGAAACTGTACGGACATTTAACATTTCGTAAATTAATAGAATAGAAGTATTTGACCCATAGATATGTAAAAATAACTTGGTTGGGCGCTATACTAAATTTGATAAAAAAAATTGATATTTTTCCTTAAAATAATGTTCAGTTAGAGGACAGTTTATTAAAATTAAATGTAGGTGGAAATGGTGTTCCGCTAAGGATGTGAACACAATAGGTTTGTGCTACTATGAGTAAAGAAATTTTATACCCTACCATTGTGATTAAATATATAGATAAATTATAAGGACATTGGCTCACATTTGTTGCAAAGTACAATGATTATAAGATATTAGGTGTTATAACTGTCATCAATTAAACAGAAGACTTTTCTATTTATAAATGAAGGCTCTCAAATACACTACTTTGAGTTCTGAGTAACTGGCGGGAAAAGGAGTTCTTACCCCAAAACACTTCTAGAAAAAAGTTCCATCTGCTTCCAGATAGTATCGAAATTCTGTTAACTTGGATATACTGAAATTGTTGAGACGATAGCACATTTTAAGATAAGCAACATTTAAAACCATTGAGTCATACATTTTTGTGAGAGAGATGATATAACGAATGTTAATATTTTTTGTGTTTGTAGGAAAGTAACATAAAAGTTAAGAATTTTAAAATATCAGCTCCATTTAAATATATATAATTACAATTATATACCAACATCATGTCAGCTATCATGTCAGTTTATGTATAGTATTATAAACATATTATTATTCACACAAATATTCTACTTATTAGGCACTTTACAAATGAAGCTTTTGAACCTTTAAACTTACTTTAATTAATTTTTATATAACTTTTATATAACTTTTATATAACTTTTATATAATTTTTTCTAATAGAATTATTTTAAAAGTTATTTTAAAAATATATTAAAAGTTTTATATTTTAGAGATACGAATTTCATGTTTTTAGTAAACTTGATACGAATAAATAGATGACTATTTTTGGTTTGCATATTTTTCTTCAAATTTCTATCGTTTGACATGTTTCCATGGACATCCTTCTTTAAATTTGCTTCTTTCCAACTCAAAAACGAATTTTCTTTAAAAATCCTTTAGATATGAAACCGTTTTAAGTTATATTTGAAAATCTCTCTATATATATAAAATATATATATAAAATATATAAAACAAAAATATTAATCATAGCCAGTTCATTATTCCACAAACGATTTTCGTATATCTTTTAAAATGAAAAGTTTTTATTAACCCTTTAAATTCTTAATTTTCGTTTTCAAAAGAAACGTATTGCAGATTTGGGCTTAGCAGCCCCAAATTAACCTTTGTTGGTATGATTGGAGAATTTATTATCGCACA